GTTTCAAGCTTTTTACAGAAGATATCATGGTCGACTATGTCAAACGCATTTTGCAGGTCCGGTGGGATCATACCGATAAAATTCCTCTTAACATTTTGATCCTTGAGATGATCCAGTAAACTGATCAAACATGTGTCAGTTGAATGATAGCCCCTGAAACCTGATTGTTGTTCATATAATTATTGTCTTTCAAATGATTCTCCAGTTGTATATAAACAGTCTTTTCCAGAATCTTGGACACAATACCGAGAATACTCACAGGCCTATAGTTGCTCACAAGAAGAGAACTGTTTTTCTTATATAATGGTTTGACCATAACTAATTTTAGCTCACCCGGAACTGAGTTATATGGGATAAATTGATTAAAAAATGTAATGGGTAATTTAAGGACACCAACACCGTCTTTTAAAAAGCGAGCTGGAATGTCATCAAGACCTGTACTTTTGGCAATGTGAAGTGATTGGAGCTCCTTATGTACAAAATCTTCTGAAACGTTATGCAGGCTAAAATTAAGACCGTGAGCATCCCCATTTCTGATTTCATCTGTTTAGAATTATAAATCATAAATAGAGGTAAGTATAGATAACTGTCGAACTAGTGTTAAAACGACATTAGTGAAGAATGGATTGAAGGGGTTAGCAACAGTTATCTGGTCATGGACATTTACATCATCATTGGATTACAATATTACTGTTTTCCTTTTCCCATTCTTATAGCCAAATTCTTTTAAACTTTTCCATAAACTTCTCCTCGCGAATACAAAGTTTTGATGGGGGATTTGAAGCAAATTAGTTTTAATATGGTTTTGGTCCAAATATATCATCAAATCACACAGTTTGTACGCGGGAAGGTATCTTTAAATTATGAAACCGGATCAATTATCTCTGCTCTCTTGACTTCGAAAATGTTCAAATATTTCGTTCACATGCAAGATATGTGTATTTCATTTATCTTATTTATTTAACCAACTGCCCCCTAGTAAATCTGTAATATCTAGTTGTTTGGGTCAGACGACCTTCAGGGTGCTTTACAGGCAAAGTTGATCAACCGGCAACCAATTTAATAAAAATCTTTAAACGTGATGGTCTAGATTAGAAACCAATAGATCACGCCCGTCTCTTTTACTATGATTATTCATATCAGTAGCCAAAACATTGTCAGAATCAAATTAGAGTGATCTCCCCTGGGGGATACTGGCACTGAACCGTCAAATCGATGTTAATACGAAGTGTAAAGGCTGAGGGCAGAAATTCGATTAGGTAATAGTTAAGATGACCAATAAAAGCGTATATAGGTAATGATATATTTACTTTCTAAGGTTGCGCTAACTTCAAACATAACACACAATTCACGACATTAATCTATATAGCCTTAACCCCTCGTCGATGAAATGTAATGAAATGAAATGGAAGTTTAACGCCCTTCTTTTCTGCACCGACTGGGCTAATCAAGACGGCCATAAGCCATACGGGGAAATTTTATATGGACAGCTGCGCTACGACCTACTCTTATATCGAATTCTAACTGCAAAAATGGCTTTTACAAGCATGCAAAGGTGTACACGGGACCTCGGGTTTTCGTAACACCCGAGAAAAACTAGGCACTACCCTCGTTAGACCACCCATCCTGTAGGACTGACAAGGTGAAACCACACCGGAACCTAATGACGTCAATCTGTATAGTGTCTTAACGCATGGTCGACAATTCATCTAAGCCATCCAAATGGCGTTTGTGTCGAGTGGACGTTAAACCCCATTTCTCTCTTTCCGTCTCTCTCTCTATTTGTAATGAGGTTTAACGCCTCAATTTTCTCCACTGAAGACGGAAATACGCCAAACGGTTTTTGGAAAACATTTGCCCGTACCATCAGCTTTTCCGTCTGTTTTTCCTAGAATTCCAATTGCCAAGGGTTCTTTTACATGGGGCCTGGGGTTTTCGTACCCTCCGAACGAATAGAGACACCGTTCCTTGTACGTCCCCCATTCTATACGACTGACAAGGGGAAACAAGGCTGATGAATCCCTTACCCACTGAGACACAGTGGCTTCTCATACCGTATTAATTGAATAAATCCCCTGTTTGAAAAATCCTCTAATGAGAATTCGGTTAAATATCAAAAACCGAAACCATATTTACGCAAATCAAACCATCAACTTGGCATTTTATTATACTATCTTTAGTAACGAGAACCATATTGCGTGCTTTGGTGTTAACGCCCTCTATCAGGTGACTGAAGATCAAACATTTTATCGGACTTTTTTCTATATTGAGAACCGGTTAATCTAGAATCGTTAAAATTATTTTGATAGGTAGACATTACACCTGTGTGTTTGTAAGGTATGGGTGTGTTTATTGATCAAGTTAATTATTGTTTAAAAGGATCTGCCTTCTCAAAAAAAACCCTCCTTTCAGTGCAAAAAGGCCGTCTTCATTATCCCAGTCGGTGCAGAAAAGTACGACATTTAAATCCCATTTCATTCAAAAAAGTAAATTGAAATGCTTCAATCTCCCTTTCTCTACACTCTACGCTAACCATTTACTGCAGTTGTAATTTTCTCGTATGTACAGATTAAACTTGTTTTTACGTTTATTTGACCAATTTCCGCAGCATTTGGAAATGTATTCAATATGTTACGTAACAAAGTGATAAAATCTAGCCCGCCAATCCTAAAATAACATCCTGTTGATCTGACGAATGGGTTTTAGTCACTAAACACAAACTTCCTAAAATAGATAGGATATTACTTAGGTCTACCATAACTGACATTCTTCAAATTTCGTCCGGGAACGGCCCAAAATTGCATCACCTATAATACTGTTTTTGGCACTGAAAGCTTAGTGAAATGGTCCTCCATCCTATACAACCGACGGGAAACCACGCCAGAAAATCTTCAGGAACTTTCTCAGCCAACTCCGAAACTTATGTTACACAGTCAGCTGTGCTACTTACGACAGATAGTTGATTCGTGTAATGTCCTTTGTCTTGTATAATAATTTGTACAGAAAGTTTATGGCATTACGTAATAGCCAGCTGTGTAATCATCTTGACCTCTGACACGGGCCAAAGGTATAAGGGGAAGTTAGTTAACAGAGAGCAGGCTCAGGCCAGGCCGAGTCCTGACAAACTAGGACCAATGCTCTCTCAACACAAGTTAATTTTAATTATAACGAGTTTTTGTACTTTATATGCTTACAAGAATAAACGTATTATAATATGTTATACCAGTGTTGTCAACATAAGAACCAATACTGTAACACGGAGCCCCTAATCTCCTGATTAGTGAGGCCACGCCTTTCTTTCTGGTAACAAGTCTACAGCCTACTCTTGTTCCGAATATTCCTTACTTACTGAGCCACCACGGCTCTTGTTTTAGCATGATCTGTATAATGTTGATGAAGTGTACACTCCTGAAGACAGTTATTGGAATCCTCTCAAACTTATGTCAACACTAAGTGTTTCTAACGCGGTTTAACGACAAAGAACAATCATTATTTAATGATATAGCGTCTCGTGGTTAACATTCCCTCACACATTGATCAGAGCTTGGTGCCTCCATTGTTCAGATTGCCATCAAAAGTGAAAGTAAACACATCATGTTGAAATGGGGTTTATCGTTCTACTTTCTGTCCCGACTGGGCGCACGTCATATTGTGATTGGAGGTTTTCCCGGACTGCGTCGTGACCAACTGCTCTTATGTCAAATTCATTGTCAAGGGTTATTTTACGTGCACACCAATGTGTACACGAGATCTCAGTTGTGCATACTATCCGAACGACTAGACGCTGTTCCTTGCCAGGCCGTCAAACCTGCACCACTGACAAGGGAAAACCTCGTCGGAAAATCCCGAGGATCTTTCTCGGTCAACAGCTGGAACTAAAGCGAGACCCCACAACGGTTCCCAAGTGAACAGAAATAACTGCGTTCGATAGGGTCGTTCAGTGTGACAATAACTATTCCAGGTGCGGGTATCTGATTTTTTTCGTTTCTTTCATTGGACCTTTTTGTTTTTGATAACTGATAATTTTTGTTTTTATAAAGAAATCCCATGCATAATGTAGATGCACACACGCCATACAGTATGCTAAGATGGACATTCATTTGGCCCGATCAACGGCGTTTTCAGCTACTCGTCATCAAATTCCAACTGTAATCTGTAATGCGCGGACATCAGTTTCATACCTTCATAACGTCAACATTTCCTTGCTAAACCCTACCCACCCTTAACTAATATTCTAATCTTGAATACCATTATTAAATTAGATAATCGTCAGTTCAGGCTCTTGGTATCACAGAGCACATTTTATTTTTCCTACATACATCGTAACCCATCCCCTCGCCCCCATCCCTCTCTCTCTCTCTCTCTCTCTCTCCATTTTGGACCCACTCAACTCTAATCCTATATATGTATGCACCCAAATGAGCTGTAATAATGTCTCCGAGTTTCCGACTTTATACAATCCTCGGGTAATCCCCAAGACCCCATACCAGATCCAACCCAAGATCTTCTCTACTCAAATTCCAGGACACGCCTCTGTGGTTTAATATGGGATATATATAAATAGTCCAATTGTCAAAATAAACATATATGATGTCTTTTGATATCTTGTGATAATCAGCGACTGGATGCAGGTTACGATTTGAAGCTTTAGCGAGCTATACATATAGTCTTTTTACGATCGATAGGAATCGAAAAGTTGTTTTCAGCTCGGCTTGTATGGAAAGACTAGAGTGTAGAGTCAGACAGCCAGTGTATTATTGGAGTTTACCAGTTGATGGCAGCAGATCTTTGGTTAAAGTCGCTATTTTATAGAACTATAGCACCAATAATTATTTCAATCAGCTCGCGTGCTGCTTTATTTTCCTATCAGTACCGTGGAATTAACGCTACCAGTCACTAGTCCATATACTGAAGAGTTCTCATATATTTACACTCTCTATATTAGAAGAATATTCTGTTGGGGGCTATAATAACACGTGTAAAATGTTTGGATATTCGGAAGATAGTGTTTTGTTTATTCTCAATTAATTATTGGATTTTTGTTTCTTAGGATGAACTTTTAAAATTCTTTTAACAACTCTGAAACTTTTCTTTCAAAAGGTAAGTACTTACATGTTTTTATAGCGCTTCAAAATTCGATATTTTCAGAATTGAAATATATTTGAAATATTAAATAATTTGATAAAAACAAAACAGTTTTATTCGAAAACCAGAAGTATGCTTCCCGATTACGTAGTGTTTTAATTTAAGAGTTTGTTTCTTCAGTTTGGCAGGGAACGCTGTCTATTTGTTCGGGTGGGATGAAAAATCGAGATCCCGTGTACACCTTGGCGTGCACGTAAAAGAACCCCGGACAGTTTAAATTCAATTCTGTTCGGGCACAATTTTCCATCACAGCACCCTGTTTGGTGTATTTCCGTCGTCATTTCCCCGGTTTTAGCAGAACAGTAGAACGTTAAACCCTATTTCATTCATTCATTGTTTCTTCGGATGTTGACGATCCGATCGTTTTATTTATCCTAAAAATTCTCTCTAATGACTGTTAATCTTAAAATATCAGTGACTGTAAACAAGTATACTATGCCTGGGTGACTAATATTTGATATGTCACTTAATGGCGTAATAATAAATTTATTCCAGATGACTAGCTATGGCGAAATATTGTTTTTAAAAACTTAAGACCATACATAACCAGTCCTATTGATTTCTACACTGATGAAAAAATATACTTTATCATCAAGCTATTCTGGAGTGGGTTTACGTCAAGGCTGATTTTTTTCTGGATGAAAATCGTTAGAAATTCTGATTTCACGAAAAAGAAGTTGTCGAAAACTGGCTTGAATCCCAAACGGTTGCTGTGTCTTGTAAGTTAGTCTGATTACTTTTATAAATAAATTATGTAAACATGATTTTGCAACACGAAATAACAAAAATCAGAATAAAATGCCACGAATCCAGAAGTTTCTTCAACTTGGATTAATATTTCTCATTTCTTTAATGTCGTTTATATTCTCCCTTGTCGATGTGTGGTACGATATGGTTGGAAATGTAGTTATAACTTTGATTATATATTTTTGGTTTCTTTAATGTAATTTCTATTCCCTCTTGGAGATGTGCGGTACGATTTGGTTCGAAATGTAGTTACAACTTTGATTATATATTTTTGATTTCTTTAATGTAGTTTATATTCTCTTGTAGTGCTATATGGTTCGAAATGTAGTTACAACTTTGATTATATATTTTGGGTTTCTTTCGTGTGACAACTTTGATTATATATATTTTTGATTACTTTAATGTCGTATATATTCTTCCTTGTGGATGTGTGGTACGACATGGTTCGAAATGTACTCACAACTTTGATTATATATTTTGGGTTTCTTTAATGTAATTTATATTCCTTCTTGTGGATGTGTGGTACGATATGGTTCGAAATGTAGTTACAACTTTGGGTTTCTTTCGTGTAGTTTACATTCTCATTGGTGATATGTGGCAAGGTACTGTGTGTAGTCGTTCGGATGGGACGAACAACCGAGTTCCCGTCTACACAAGAGTAGGCCGTAGTGCCCCTGTCCGGGTAAAATTCCCCTCATTGCACACTGCATGGCGTATGCCCGTCTTCATAAGCCCCGTAGATGCAGACAGATTGGGCGTTAAACCCTATTGCATTTCATTTTCATTACACTGTTAAAATTGTATATTTTTAAACAGCTACATTGCTCAGTGGCTGGTTATGTTTTGCAACTTGAATGATTCGCAAAAGAAGAGTTTGCAGGTAATAATTGAATCAATAACTAAAACAACTGACGGATTACAATTGAGATAATTAGCCCGATATTATCTAATCAACTGCCTTTTATTTTTTTCTACTGCTCTATAAACAAAGGTCACGTCTTACATTTCTAACTTGAAAAACCAAGAAAAAAATACAAGCGCAAACGTTCAGGGTGGAATTTAAAATGATGAAGCCGTTTTCAATTTTACACAACTTTTAACCATGTTTTAAATTATATATATATAACATAAAATGGTTATGAACACTGATACGTATAATATAAACACTAATACATACAAAATAAATGATTATAAACATTAAGACATAAACAATAAAATGATTATAATCACTAATACATATCAAATAAAATGATAAAATAAAATAATTACAAGCACCAATACGTAAAAAATAAAATGATTCTAATCACTAATGCATATAAAATAAAATGATTCTAAACACTAATACGTAAAAAATATAATGATTCTAAACACTAATACGTAAAAAATATAATGATTCTAAACACTAATACGTAAAAAATATAATGATTCTAAACACTAATACGTATAAAATAAAATGATTCTAAACAATAATGCGTACAAAATAAAATGATTCTAAACACTAATGCATACAAAATAAAATGATTCTAAACACTAATGCATACAAAATAAAAATAAAATGATTCTAAAAACTAATGCATATAAAATATCAAGAAAGTGAAGAAAGAAACTACTTTAGGTAGCCTATTTTGGCGTTTGCAGATAAATTTGTTTCGCAAGGTCAAAGATCTACGATCATATGATATACATATATATATTTTAACCGAGGCGTTTTGTTTCAAAGTGGCTTTACAGCTGGAGTTATCTCGGTAACTTATTTATTCGAACATCAAATTTGAACCAGGTAGGGCTTGGTGTAATTAAAAAAACCACTGTACCAAAAGTTGTAGTTCAGTAATAATTCTGTTATATTGAGTAATATTGGGCCCCATCTACTAATACAATGTACATACGACCCAATAATTAAACAAATTAACATGAGTTTTCTTTAATATACAGAATACCATACCCAATCTGCTGATAAGTTTCACCAAAAGACGAGATAACCGGTTTCTTATGGGTCGAAGAAATGAAATGAAATGGGGTTTAACGTCCTACTGTTCTGCTCCGACTGAGCTAATGAAGACGGGCATACGCCATACAGTGTGCTATGAGCGAAATTTTGCCCGGACAGCGGCACTACGGCCTACTCTTATATCGAATTCCAAATGTCAAGGTATCTTTTACGTGTACGCCAATGTGTACACGGAACCTCGGATTTAATACCCATCCGAACGACTAGACAACTGTCCTTGTCGGGCCATCCGTCCTGCCAAGACGAAATAAAACAATTTAAACCTTTCGTTCGTGCCGTTGACTTAGGACTACATTGTGGCTGATTCTAGCAAAGACTGCTGAAGACAGCAAATATTTTTAAAAGCAGTTTCTAATTTTGTTTAGACTTGATTTCGATCACCAAGTAATCAAATTTCAAACCCGCAATTTCTTTAATCTGAAAATAAATATTACGCAATCCTGTTTGTTAATAGGAACCTTCAAAGTGTAGTGTGAGTGTGTGTTTGTGTATGTGCGTGTGTGTGTGGAGGTGGTGTGGGGGGGGGGGATTGTCGAATAGTCTTGGCGTGCGCTTCCGATTATAAACTTCGTCGTTGAGTCAAGGAACCTATTTTCGATTCCGAGTATGTACGTGACAAGGCGTGGGGTCACTTGTCCAACCACCCAATACTAAAGAACCAAGCGACTTATTTAAATAAAATTGAGCCATTGTATATTCCCGAGATGATCTAATCTCTGTCAAATTGATGTAACTCCGACCCCCCACACCTCCCTCTCTCTCTCTCTCTTTCTCTCTCTCTCTCTCTCTCTCTCTCTCTCTCTCTGTACCAGTATGTATTTATTTGACTTAACAAATATAGAACATTTTCAAAGGTCACTAAATGAACAATATATTACGACATCCAGTGGTCTGAAGGCTGGATAATTATACCTACTGTAGTTATGTAGTCTTTGATATATGCCACATCAAAGACGATGTGGTTTAATGATCTACTGTTGCTCATTACACTTTGCTGATCTAATTTGTTATAGTTTTTTTTAACATTTTCTGACACAAATACATATTAACATTATCATTGGTCTAAACTGTTTCTCAACATTGGATTTGTGTCGAGCCGAATGTACAATATCGACTTTTTCAAATTCGTGCAGGACGGAGGGCCTGGCAAAGTCATCGTCTATTCGTTCGGACGGAAAAGAAACTCGAGCTTCTGTGTACAAGTTCGTTGGCAGCTGGAATTCGATATAAGAGTAGACTTTAGCGTCACAGTAACATTTTCCTCATGGCACACTGCATGGCATATACCCGTAAAAGAGAGAGAGAGAGATGGGATTTAACGTCCACTCGACACAAACTAGGTCATTTCGGGACTAACGTATGGTTTAATTTTATTTCAATAATTCGCTTGCGCGTAGGGGTCTTTAGCAGTGGGAGGAATCCGGAGGACCAGGAGAAAACCCACGAGGTTGGACAGGCGACCCTGCTCCTTGCCACGTACAACCGGGGAATCGAGCATATGCTGATGAAGAGAGGGAGAGTATTTAACGTCCACTTGACACAGACTAGGTCATTTCGGGACTAAAGTATGGCTCATTGTTATTTCAATAATGAGCTTGCGTGAGGTTGGACTGGCGACCCTACTCCTTGTCACGTGTACAAGCGGGGAAACCACGTCACTTGACTCAATGGCAGACCTTCTGTTCCAACGCGCACGCGTTAACCATTCGACCACTCCCCAAGTGACTAAGGCGCTGGCTCACTAACCTGGAGGTCCCGTGTTCGATCCTTGCATTGGACGAAAAAGTTCATTGGATTTTCCGATGTGGTTTCACCTTGTCATAGTAATGAAGGATGGAGGGCCTTATACTGATTGAAAGAAAAATCGAGGCCCCGTTTACACGTTGGCGTACACGTAAACAAAAATTCCTTGACAGTTGGAATTCGATATAACAGAAGTTCTAGGCAACATTTCCCTCATCGCACACTGCATGGCGTATGTCCGTCTTCATTAGCCCTGATGGAGCAGAAAAGTAGGACGTTAAACCCCATTTCATTTCATTTTATTTAGAACAGTTTTGTGAGTACTCTGAACTGTCTGTAAATATAACAGTAGTCCTAGGCAAAATCGCTGCATGGCGTATGTCCGTCTTCAATAGCCCTGAAGGAGCAGAATTGTGGGGCGTTTAAACCCCATTTCAATTCAATTCATATCAGAACTTAGAGTGTTCATAATGAGAAAAGATTACCTTTAACAAACAATTACAATTCGAGACAAAGAGATGTCAGAATGATTGAATGAAAGTGACAGTTATATGGCAGAAAACATAAAACACACAACTCTCCTTATATTCTACGATAACTTGCTACAAATCAAAATATCCACTTAATTATATATGTAAATGTTGCGCAACAGTTTCTTATTGTTTTCATATAGGGATATAAATGTAACCTCTTGGTAATGTTTTAAGCGATACTGTGGACTTGAAACCAAATGAAATGGGGTTTAACGTTTTACGATTTTTGCATCAACCGAACTGTTCCCTGTTAAGCCCATTCATCTTGCACCATTGACAAGAGCAAATCACGTTGAAAAATGTCGAGGCCGGATTTGACATGTCCAGGATACGTATGATTAAGTAAATGTGGAACTACAATGCTAAATATCTAAAACAGGCCCATCAATCTGGTTCACAGCATATAAAGATGGCGTGTGAATTTGTTACACATTGAGCAGCATACGTCGGTGGAATTTTCAATTCGTCATATCTTTGTATGCTGAATGGAATTGGGCCATTTTTGAACTGGTATTCCTATTAGAGATTCAAGTTTTACATTATTGTCGTTTGCAAGAAATTATATAGCGCTAAAAGCACGAATAAAGTCTTTAATGAAATTGTAAACACAAAAGTCGATGTTTCTTTCAAAGTTCTATAGACATTAGTTTAACGAGCTGGAAATGGCGTTTTATTCTGATTTGCT